ATTTGATCCCATGTTGTGGGTCATAATAGAAGACAAGCAACTCAGCATCTGGAACTTATGACTTCAGTTTTAGAGGTTCTGGTACAGGCACATTTTAAGATTAAGGGGGACATGGCCTGGGAATTGAAGAACAGCGCAGCCAGAAAGCTCAGGGAGACAGACTGAGGCCAGGACAAAAGCAGAAGGGGGATGGCCTGGCGACAGGACAGAGGAGGAGACCTCAGGTAGACAGCCTGGGGGCGGGGCAGAGGCAGAGCAGGAGGAACAATATGTTTTTGACACAGACATACATACACACTGTGCCAGAGCTTTCATTAATTATGAAGGTTATCAGTTTGTTCAGTGGCTGGTAGGCGGCTGAGGTCTGACTAAGGCTGGAGAATCAGGAAGCATGTCACAAGTCACCGCCGACTGGCGAGGGAGGCTGACAAGTGTTAGACAGCAGGGTCTGGAACTGAGCAGCTGAGTGAGCCATCAGTGTCTGAAGCCACAGTGACCATGTCTTCTCTTAGGGACTCTAGAGTACTGGAGTACTGCCTGAAAATAAGAAGGCAGGTGTCTTCAGAAGTATCTTCAGGATGGTTCCTCGTCCATTGAAGACTAGAAGGGTTCAGGGACGCAGGGGGCGGGCTAGTTGGCTCAGGGCAGCTGGCCGGTTAGCCATCTAAGGACAGGCGGCACTACCAGGTGCGATGTCCCTCTCCGTGTTGACGTTTCCGATCAAGATCAACCTCCGGCAGAGAAAGAACCTCTCAGAATGAGGGACTAAATGGACGTGCAATAAGGGCTGTAAAAAAAATTGCTAGAAACAACCTTTGAGTATGTAATTAAAATAACGTGATAAATGAAAGTTAAAATTTAATATTCCCAGTTAGTTGGGAGATTATTCTTGTTTAGTGTGTCCAAAAGTGAGTTATTTGTTTATGTTTGGTAATGCCCCATATTTGTTTAATTCCATTCATGACTATTTCCAATGTTTTAGTGATGTATCTAAGGTGGGCTAAAATCAAGGGACTGCACTTTGTTGAAGATAGGGAATCCCAGCTATTTAACCTCTGCGGGGTCGTTTATTAAGGTGATGGATACTGCTTGGTTCGTTGGAGCTGTTGTAATGACCGTTGTTATGGTTGTTGGAGTCTCAGGGAGTTGGAGTATCAGAGAAACTCAGGAGGATTTTCAACAAACACCACATCCCTGCGTTTTTTAAACCCAGCAACAAGCTAAGACAGATACTTTTTCAAACAACGCACACTGAAGGTTTGATCCAGATCACAACCAAAACTGAATCACATGATCTAATCCAATTTCAGAATCCTTTTTTCTTTTAAACAATCCCCTTTTAATCCAGACAAACATTTTGGTTTGGATTTTAGGCAAGATCTGAATCTTTAAATGACTTTAATGTGAATTAATTGTGAGTTATCCCTGGAAAAATAAGTTGTGCTGATTGTCGCAGTATTTTTATGACATCAGTGTTTTCTGGTTGAGTTATGAGATGGAGAAAGAGGGGTGCGATTTTTGATGCAACTGGGTGTAAATGGTTCAGTTTCATTTTGTGGGAAATTAATTCCCAAAGTGTACATTACTGAATTGGTGTGATGAGTTTTGAAGTTTTTTTAGTGCCACACATGTCCACACCTACTTCAGATTATTTCCCATAATTTGACATTTTATATTGGCACCATACATCCCCTTTCGGCAATCCTCTGTAAAAGAAAAAATACAGGTGTCTGCTTTAGTATCGGCTTTCAGAAAGCAAAATATCGGTCGAAGTGGAGTGTGCAGATCATGGCTGGAGGCAGGGGAAGGAAAGTAACGTCAGCTCCAAATCTTTCACGACAGTGTTATAAACTTTCCTTCCGCTGCCGAGTTTCAGCTCAGCTCGCAGCAGCTGATGTCATCGCCTCGTCTCACCCTCTTCAGCCTGCCTGTAAAATGCCAAAGAGTAGAAATGTGAAACAGTCACTTCTGCGCACCTTCCAAACACTTCAACTTTTAATGGTGAATAATCATGCATTCATTTTCTCCACATGCTTGGGCAGACAGTGACTGGACAGGTCGCAAGAGTCGCAGAATTAATAACCATGAAAAATAGAGAATCTCAAATCCACCTGGCTTTGGAATCAAACTGCTGTTAGTAGCATGGATATAATATACTGGTTGTTTGTTAAAACTGTAACATGTTAGCCAGAAACTCACAAAGGCTTTGGTGAAAACCATTTTTCTTGTGGTGTACCAATCGCAGGTTGCTACAAGTCCCTGTTTGCCCTCTCTGTCTGTTTCCTTGTGATGTTCACATGCATTCCTCTCTGACACCTGGAAGCTGAGGGCTCAGCACAGGAAGGTAAGAGCCTAAACAAACATGGAAGGTGTCCTAGTGGATCTGTGGTTTGGGGACCACACCCTGCACACTTGTGGGTTCAGGTGAACATGATATGATAATGTGGATGTTTGCCCTTCCCTACTGTAAGTCACATTTTTCTAAACTTTTAAACTATGCTTTTGAAGGCCTGTATCATTTTACAGTCCTGTTTATGGAGAAAAGGATCCCACACACCTGGCAGATGACTTTGTATGAAGCAATACACAAGGCCTTATATTTTATTCCAAATTTGAACTACTGTAAGAATCCACAGGGAACAAGACTAAAGCTGATGGTCAAAGCCAAGAATGCAAAGAACAGACTTTTTGGGGAGAACGTTCTTGGTAGTTGTTCCCAGAATGAACTTGCAAAGTCAAGAGCACATACAACGCTATTGACAGATTGTGTGTTCTTGCTGGTATTGTGGCACTGCAGAGGCCGTCTGCAGCGCTCCGAAATAACAGCCAGGCTTGCTTGCTCTATAGCCTACCCTAAGCTCAGAAGGGAACAGCAGCAAAACGTAATGTAGCCACCTAAAAAAACAATATCAGTCTAAGTGTATGTTGTGGTTAGAATATTTTCACCACTTTTGCTTGCCGTCAGACAGCCCTCTCTAACGTGGAACCGAAGCTGTTACATTGCTCTCTTTAAAGCCACCAGACTTCTTTGACTAAAACAGTAATTTTACCGCGCACAACACAGAAGTTGCAGTTCAACTGCAGCCTTGATTGGTTAGTTTGTGTTACTGTGTTACTCTGGTGTTTTAGGATCCTAACTACCATTTAAAACAGCAAAAGGTCACACAATTGAGGCAGTGGTAGTGAAGCTGTCATGCACAGCTGTGTCTAGAGACTTTTAAATGATCAAAATGAAAAGTTTCTGGAGTGGCACTGCCAGCTGATCAGCATTTTAGGTAAATGTTAGAGCTGGCCACAGCCAAGCGGTTCGGGGACAGCTATTGGGGATGGTGCAGAGGATAAGATACTATAACTCTAGTGTGGGAGATGAGGGTTCAATTCCCACTGTGACACCTCCACAAATTTGTCTTTGAGCAAGATTCTTACCACCTATTGGCTCCAGAGGAGTGTGACCACTGACATTAATAGGAATTCTAAGTCTCTATGGAGGAAATGTCAGTTAAATGACTGATTAATTTAAGATATTTTGACAGAATGGATGAGATTGTAAAGGAGGTCCAGATGTATGTCTGAACTGAATTTGAACTTGCGCTACGTTACAGCAACCCTATGTAGCAATTATATCTCCAAATAACCGTACAAAATCATTTTGATGGTACATTTGCTTGTAATCGGGAGAATGACGTCTGTCTCATCATGGCAGAGGCTGCAAAGAGACCGAAGAAGACTGTGTCAGAGGAAGTGAGAAAGAGAAAAAGAGAGAGTGATTGAACAGGAGACCAGACAAGAGTAAATATAACACTGGCTTTTACATGTTGGCGCGAGCAAAAAGAGCTGAAAGGATGCAAGGACGCATGCTGAGCTGGCCTTCCCCAGGCGGGAACCTCTGGATCTGAAAATTTACTTCCGAGAAAAAGTCGCTAGTTTCATGTATTCTTCAATACAGTATGATGTTCTGTTCTGTAAATTATGGTATGCTGTCGCTACCATGGTAGCCTGTCAATCAGGCTAGAGTGACTCGTATCCGCTGCACTGTGTAAATTTAACCAGCACCGTTGAACAAGCTTATTAGGAGTTGGCTGTTCATTTTACCGGGAAGTATGTTTTATTTTAAGCCTGGTTTTTGCTAGCCAAAATTAGCATCCCGCCTAAAATCTCCGGTTAACACGAATTACAGCTGCAGCTAGCTATCCAAGCTTGCTAGCACCACCATCTAGTCCAATTATGGTACTGGTTGCAAAAAAATCAACATGGAGGCGGCCTAATGGTCAAACTCGAGGATTCAAAACGGCAGTCCACAAACCAATGGCTGATGTCATAGTGACTACGTCCACTTTTATGGTATTACCAAAAATGCTGAAGCATTCCTTTGAATTACCAAAACATATCATACAAGGTCACAAAGTGAAAGATTCCAAATATTCTAAGGCCCTAGTATTTGGGTCTGTAACATTGTTTCAAAGTGTTGCTGTCTATGTCTCCTTCCTCGTCACGCCCTCTTTTTGTTAGCTAACCTGTGGGTTTGGTTGGTTGAGAGCCTGGAGAGCAGCTTGTTTGTCTCTCAACACACACACACACACACACACACACACACACACACACACACACACACACACACACACACACACACACACACACACACACACACACACACACACACACGTCTCTCCTCCCTTTTCTAACTGTGTGCCACATGAAAGAAGTGTAGACCCGTCTCTCTCTGTGTCAGCGCTGTGTTATTAGTATCCAGAGACTCCAGAGTGTCTGCTGCACTGTCACCTCCCACAACCTTCTTTACACGCATTGTGTGTGTGTGTGTGTGTGTATAATATATAGATGGGTGCAACCTGTAACTGTAGTCTGACTCACTCTGACAGACACACCAGGAAAGCAGTGTCAGCACACTTTCAACACCTTTGTGTTTGTGTTTGTGTGCGTGCGTGTGGTGCATTCACAAAAAAATATGTACATACAGAAAATAATACGCTATTAGCTGATTCAAATACAGACGTTTTATTTTTTACTTTTTAACTCTGAAAAGAAAATTCTCCTAAGGCACAAACTGTTGTGCCACATTTGATCTAGTTGACTATAAATAAAAGTCCTGAGTGCAGCACTTGTGTTAATAGAATATATACAACTTCTTTTTCAAATGTTTTAGCACCAACTTGACATCAGTGTTGTTGTTTTTTGAAGAGGTCAGGGCCTTGTAGAGTTTGTGAGCAGGAATTAAAGGGCCACTCCAACAATTTTACCGATGAGGATCAGTTTACTCATCTTGAAAAATACTACTCAACCCATGAAAGCAGTTGTATAATGTCTCCTGTGGCTCTGGGGGAGTCCGAGAAACTTACCCTGATGATGTCATAGTTATGTCATCAGGGTTATCTGGGAAGGAGATTTCAATTTTATAACAATGTCTATGTTAAAAAGTCAACATGGAATTTGAAAGATGGAGGCATTTATCAAGCAAGGAGTCTAATGAAAGACATTACTGAGTTGCATTATGGGAATTGTAGGATGAAGTGTTTCTGTTACATTTAAATTACTGGCAGATTTATACAGTTAAGAGAAAAAGCTGCACATGCAAAACACACTGTGAATCAATGACCATATCACCGAAACATTGGAATGTATGTCTGGAAGGAGCCTCCTGATCTAATTGATCAGAGAGACATTTCAGCTACCTAAACAGTACATATCACCAAGGTCAATTCCAAAATGCTGCTCATACTGTACCTTTTTTACTGTTTGACGTATTTGAGGATATAACCCATATGCTAAACCAAAATGTGGCAGTGCTGAATAACATTTACATCACATTTTGTACCTGGGCCTCTCTCTGGTTTAGGTTTCTACTAACTCACAATCGAATTGATTTAGAAGAAATTTAGTGCTAATTTAAAGCCTTTGAGCTTCTCTCGCATGTAAAATCAACCTTTCATCCAAAGCGACTTACAATTGCTATACATGTCAGAGGTCGCACGCCTCTGGAGCGACTAGGGGTTAAGTGTCTTGCTCAGGGACACAATGGTTGATGGGTCACAGCAGGGAATTGAATCTGGGTCTCTCACACCAAGAGCATGCGTCTTATCCACTGAACCATCACCACCAACCCATCATTGCACTCCAGTGACATTGTCGGACTCACAATGGACAAATAATCAATGCAGAAGTATCACCCATAATGCAACTCAACCACCGACAGTTTGGTCTGAGTATTGGTATGTAATGCTAGTTGCGGCCGGCTAATGTAGCTTTCAGCTGCTAGCATCTAGCAGAGATGAGGAGCTACAGAAGTAAGCTCCCTTCTTTCTGACTCCACACCCCTAGATTTATTTAAAATTTTCAATCTTGTAGTTTTCAGCCCTTTTCGACGTTGACACCCTTTGAGGCAGTTTATCAGATTTCACACTCCCTCTGGAGCCACAAAAGCCTTCATACAACGGGATGCTCTTGTCCATTGTTGTGTGTACATTTTTTTAATCCCAGCCTTACCTTTACACCGAGAGCACACGCTTGACCTTTTCACCTGAAAAACAGTGCTCAACAGTTCTAATAGAACCCTTTAGACAAAAAATATATGGATGCAAAAATTGTTAGGACAGTGTAAATGGGGTAGGTAAAATGCACTGGAGCTACACAAGTCAGTCATCCACTGAATGTCCCGTAGGGCCTGTGTTTCTCCATGATGTGCAAACATATTCCTAATGGAAAATAAGTTTGCAAACTGTCCTTTTAAAAAAACACCCTCTCATCGATCATTTCAGTGTCTCTCCACATTTTGTCTCCTGTGTTTGGTTGATATTGATATTTTATTTTAAAAGGTTATCAGCCTTTCAGTGTTGCTCACCTTTAACAAGGTGTCTGACCACAGCTACATCAAACAATCCTGCTTCCTCTAAATTTAAAGCCTTACATATCTCAAGGTTTTCCATGCTCGTGTGGTGGGCTTTCATTTGCTGAAAACCCTGGAAGAATTTCAGTAGTAGTCAGTTTTAGAGTCAAAATGCGGTGTCAGAGGCTCTTTCCACAAGCAAATTTCAAGGGAAATGCTCAATTAATCCAAGTTTCTAGCATAAACATAGTCATATTTAAAATAGTAAATATACAAAATGTCATCCATTATCAGTGATTTCAAATAAACATGTCAGTATCAGTCTTAAAAATCAACATCAATCACCCTAATCTCCATTATAACCTCATTGTTAGTTCATAAACTTCAGAGGTGAGGAGTACAGGGTAACTGAGACCACTCGTTTTCAGTCCACATTTACTGTAGTAACGCCTGTTTTACAACATGTGTTTCAGGTTTTACAGTCATGACTCGTGTCTGGTGATCACTGTCAGGTGTTTTTGGTCACAACAGCACTCCGAATAATCCAAAAACTCCCCCTGGTGTTTAAGCGCAGGGCTCCAGTTCCTGGTTTAACATCAGTAGACGGCTCCCATACTCTGTGTGGCTGGCGGTCCTGTTGATGGTGTGTGGTGCGTCGGGCCCGACTGTTGCAGACCTAAATTTGCACCCTGCTGCTGGTACCAGTTCTGGTGTGTGAAGTCTGCCATGCAGGCGGGTGAGGAATCACCTGGAGGCTGATAGGGACCCTGCCCCCTGCTGGTAGGATCCATCATTGCATTACTCTTGATGCCGCTGCTGCTGCTGTTTGTGTTGTTGGTGCTGGTGCTGCTGTTGTTGTTACTGTTGCCGTGGTTGTTTTCCCACACAGCTGGGGATGGAGGAGAGTTGCACGCCATGGAATCGCTGGCGTCTGGACTGTGTTCAAGAGGAATATCCCCGAGTGGAAACTCTCCGTTCTTGTAGAGCTTCTTGAACTTGGAGCGACGGTTCTGGAACCAGATTTTGACCTGGAAGGAAGAGCATGAAATGTTAAGGCAGTAGACAGAAATGAAAAACACTGAAAAACGTAAAGCAATAGTCACTGGATGTCCAATATTCACACTTTTAGCTCTGGTTTGGTCGTCACCAAAAAATATCAGGCCCTTCAGCAGCTAAATGTTACACCTATAACTTTTTGCCTGCAGAGGCTGGAAAAGACGCAGATGAGAGTTGAGGTAAAAGTGACCCAGAACAGTAAAGCTGTGGGCCATAAAACCAAAGCAATGAGCTCAAAGACACTAAAACACTTTAATGCGAGGGGCACTGCGGAGTTCCGCACTTTCGAGGTGACTGCTTTGAAAGTGGTATAGTCATTTGATCCATTGATAAATTATGTGTGTCAATGTTAGTATCTTGTTTTCAGCATCTGTAGCTTCATTTTAACCTCTTTTGGCACACACTTTGAGTTTCTTCTATGTCAAATTCACTTGTAGCAACCTAGTTTCCAGCAGCAAGCAGTGTCAGGCTCTGGTAAACCCACTGTACACTAGCCGCACTGCACAAAACAGCAGACATGAAAAGTGAAGAAATATCTGGTGAACATAGTGGAGTATTTTTCAGCTAACTAATTTTCTCAGAGGTTGGTGTAGACCAAAAACAGAGCTCAAAGAGAGTGAATTATCATACATACATTCATCAGGTGGCCAGAAACACAACTCCAAATTAGTGCTAATGTTGCTCCTTGACTGCTAGATATGTGATTATGCACTTTGTTTGCCGACACACTGGCCATAAGAATATTGTAAGGTCAAAGTTGTCTTTCTGCCATCAAGTAACAAAGCTTTAAAGACATTTTATGTTGGCTTGCTTTATTAACATGATATCCACTAGCAGGTACTTTTTTGTCATAATAAATAAGACAAAAAGTATGTTATAATAAATATTTTGTGTACTACTGATAAACCAGGCAGCTAGTAATTCAAATTTTACTTCCTTATAGTACCTAGACACTATCTAAGAACTACTGGCCAGAAGAGGTAAGAGCTCTTTGAAAAGAAAAATTATGATATATGAAAGCTGCCATAACAGTATTATTTATATAAACATCTTCAAATCCATGACTGCATCTAGCCAAATGTCATGACAATCAAGTTTGAAGTTGAGTAGGATTGATTTCATGCCTATGTTTTCTTAAAGCTTTCGAGTGTAATCCAAGCATAATAGTGAACAATGATTTACAGCAGCCATGATAAAACAACAAGCGCTGCAAGTTTAGTCTTTTATCACTCAAGTGAAGATAATTCATGTGGTTGTAAATCATTAGGGCAGGAAGAGTATGACTGCACAAACCAGACTGACACAACAGTAACAACTCACAGAACTGCCTTCGATCAAATGACAAATGTATTTATATTATATTGTATTGTATTCTGTTCTACTGGATTTTTAATTGTTTTGTTAAATATCATCATAATAGCCTAGCATGGTCATGGTTTTGGGTTTGTGTGTTATGTCCTGTTTTATTTGTTTAATCCTACCTCCTTTCTTCATTCTCTGTGTTGTTATGTCATTGTGTCATTTATTCTTTGTTTCCTGTTTGGTATTTTCTTCTCCTCTTGTTTAAGACCGCTCCCCCCCTGGTGTTTCTTTCCCATGTGAAATTGTTTGCGCCACCTTGATTCTTTCCACCGGTGTCTTTTAATCCCCTCCCTCTTGCGTATTTAAGTCAGTGTTTTCCTCTTGTCATTTGTTGGTCCGTTTTTGTCAAGCGTCTCAGCCCCTCCTCTGCGTTCTCACTGTGTTTGGTTCGTAGCACTATTATACTATTATATAGTATAATATTATTAAATTAGATGGAACGATACTAGAGATTATATTTTAGTATAACCTGTAGTTATTAAAGTACTGTACAACCAGTCACAACCCTTTTTATTTTATCACAGTAGTTCATCTTTATCATAACTTTTACAGTTTTCTAGAAATTCTAAATCAAGTGTTACGCTCTTTTCTCACATTTGCATTGGTGTGTATTGCACAGAATGTTCAAACTTACAGTGACTGACATCACAAACTCTCATCAGCTCTTGAACTTACTGGTACATTTGTCTGAGAGTTCTGCTTTTAGCTATCAACACATCAACTGACACTTTAACAAATTTTCATTTTTTAACTGTCAGCCGAAATACTTCAACTGAAATTTTAATTGCTCTCTTTCACACTTCAATGTTAGTTTAGCCACTCTCATTGCTTACTTATAATATGACAACTCATCTACCTATGGGGCTTAAACTTGAAATTAAAATGTTTAATTCCTTCAGCAATTTAACTTTAGCTGATTTAAACAGCATTCGGCTATTACACTTCAAAAGATATTTCAAACCCATTCAACATCTCGCATGCAATAAATGTACATTTTAAGACATTAACCTGCTTACAGTGTTTACACCTGCGGTTTTCAGTTGCAAGAAGTTAAACTTTCTTCTTAAATCACAGCCTTCTCTAATACACTGTAATATATTTTTATCACTGTACTGAACTGCACTGTTTGGTGTTCCCTGCAGACTCACCTGTGTCTGCGTGAGGCCCAGCTGTGCAGCCAGCTCGGCGCGCTCCGGCAGGGCCAAGTACTGTGCCGACTGGAATCTCCTCTGCAGGACTGCTAGCTGGTAACTGGAGTAGATGGTCCGGGGTTTCCGCACCTTCTTGGGCTTCCCATTGACCATCCTAACCTCCATGTCAGGTTCTTCTTTCACTGCGGGAGGAAACAGTATAAAGCCATGTAACGTCCTGTAGCACTCCTGCAGTCTTTTTGATAATTTGTGGGGCCTTACAGTGGAAGCTTCATGTACTTTCCTATAAAACATAACCTGTACAAGTCTTTTTCTCCAAACAGTGAAATTAACTTTGTCTTCGTCCCTACATCGCAGAGAAGCTGCAGCACAAAAATAGCCACGGCCGCTACAACCCCGAAATTTCAAAGAAATTCCGCCAGCACTCTGAACTTATAATTTTGGTCTGAGTCTCTCCCGCAGCCGGAGAGGGAGACAGAGATTTATAGGTGCTTTTCATGTAGCCTGGAGGCCAGCTTGTACACATCACTCCCCATTTGGGCTTTTATTTTCGTACCCAATTTTTTGTCTTCTTTTAGATATCCAGCCAACTTTACTTACTCAAATATATTTGTTTACATTTGATCAACACATATAATATTTATTACCTTAAGATGGGAAACAACACATTTAATTAAAAAGATTATTTAACCTTATGTTCATATATTTATGCATGTATTTGTGTGCACTATAATTGGGTTTTATTTATAATATTTACTCAACAGATGCAGTTATAATTCAGCTATATTTAAATCATAAATCATAAGAAAGATAAATGTTTTTATTAGTGTATTATATAATTTTTCCCCACCTTTATTTTTTTATTTTTTATGATCACATTCACACAGTTACACATTCAGACCTGGAGCATTTGGGGTTAATGAGGAAGGGCCAAGCGCTGATTTATCCTGCTGCCAGGGACTGAACTGACGACCTTCCAGTCAAGAGCTGGCTTCTAACCTTTAGGCCACCTCTGCGCAAATTATTAATATAAATTAATAATAAATATATGTGTGTGTTTGTGTGAGTGTATGTGTGTGTGTGTGTGTGTTTAAAGTGCTATTTCCAGAGTTTTTAGGCCCAGTATATTTAAAATACTATGGACTACTTTGGGACCAAAGGAAAAACTAATTAAAGAAATCCATACGCAGAATTTCAGTTTGGGGGTATGTTTTGAAACAGCATTTAGAGCTTGATGTTGGTCAATAAAATGTCCAGGAAGTATAACTACCAGAACAATTTATTTAATAAATAAAATAGGCAAATAATAAATAAAAGACTTTTTTTATTGTCAGGTAAAAAAAAATTCTGAGGGGAGTGGGAGTGCTTTGACTCACCTCAGTATTTCAAAAATACTGGCTACCTCCAGTTCTACTTGTCCCTTTAGTTTATTTGGATATTCCTTAACTCACATTATTTTACCAATCTTTTTGTTTGGAACATTTATTTATTATTAGTTAGCAGTCAGGCCTTTATATCTGTCTATGAATGTTTTCCGTGTCACCTATTTGTGTATTTATTTATGTACGTATTTGTTTGGGTGTGGCCACAGACCCTGCATGATAAGAGCCATCCTTGTTGGATGATTCAAAGGCCGACTGACATGTTGTGGCACCTGATGTGCGTGGCTGTGGGCCAAAGTCCCCTGCAGCCATTTCCAGGAGTCAACTCCCAAATGGAATGTCAAAAACAGTACACCAGTCTATCAAGTTTGTTTTCCCTCTGTCGTTTGCACAGACACATCTTCCAAGCTCAGCACAGAGCCAAAAGAAAAAGCTTCTGTACACAGTCTGACTGTAGAGCAACTTCAAGTTAAAGAGCCACAAATGGGTTTGTAGTTCTAAATTGTCTATTATGCTCCCATTATTGTAGGATTTGCATATTGAAGTTATTGTGATCTTATGGCATCACTCTAATATCCTTCACATCACTTCAAGTTTTTATCCAGTATGTTTACCTTGTTATGCATGTAAAATACATTTATATTGTATGATTTATTTATGTTAGCATAGACTGTTTAGTTTAGTTGTGAATTAGTTGAAAAGTCACTGGCTAGAACAAGGACTTGGCTTCCATCCAAAGGCCTTTAGGCACATCTCCATTTTCCTATCAAAATAAAATCTGAAAGTTATCAGGCAAGCTTCTATTTACAGTGGAAAACAGTGAAAGCAAAGAAACAGAAAACAATAACTAAGTGAATTTACCTTTATCGCCACTAACACCCCACCCACACACCTCTCTCTCTTTGAAGTTATTAAAATGAAACTGCAATCTTTGACATCCCTGGCATGTAAAAACAGAAGCTGCTGCTCCACTTACAACAAATAACAAACTGAGTTTATACAGTATGTGAGTTCTTCTTTCAGCCGACAGTAATAATATCAACTTCCAATCTATTAGCTGTAAGAACTACGGCTAGCATTATTTACGGTCTGAGGAGCCATAAGGTCCCTTTAAAAAGGAAAAAGCTTTACAGTTTGAAGTCATTTCAAGTTTCAAGTCATTCCTGAGCACAAATATCTACATTTCAAAACATAACTAACTTTCTTGGCTGCTTTATATATGATATAGTTTATTAAATAATTCAACGTAGATAGAGGTTTGAATATCTAAAAACGAGTCGTTAATATAATATATGTCAGATTTCAGAAAGACACTGTGACACGGTAGATGAGGTCTCTCCTACTGTGTGTGCTTGAACACACTTAGTCTAAATACTATTAGGTGCACAGCAATTCTGACTACTTACTAATCATCTTCTAATGAAGGAGATTAAGAGAGCAACAAATGTGTAGACAACGTGTACAGTGTAAAGAAAGTTAAGGACGCAGTGGAAAATAAAAATAACTTTTTATTTCCCCCGTGCGTAAAACTCCTGCGCAATTACTGGGTTTATATGGCTAGACATGAGCACTTGCCATACATCAGCCTCGGGTGGTCAGTGTGGCTTTTCTCGTTCTTGGACAATGATGGAGAGGGTGTTTTACTGCATTGCGTCTGTGGAATATGTTTGGACATGTTAACATTTATTTCCTCATGAAATGTGTCCAGAATTAACGTCAAGTACTCGACAAATACTTGACATTAATTCTGTTGACTGAAGTGTCACCGGGGTCGTCAGTTCTACCAGTTGGGTTTAACTTACCGCCGTCCTGCAGCGCTGACTGTACCTCCCTGCTGAACGCACCGTGCTCTCTGTATGCTGCGTGGGGGTACGGGTATTCTGCCTTGCCAACAGTATAGGCACCGCCAGGAGCCATCCCGTTGAAGTTATAGTGGTGGTACGCGTACGGGTTCATGTGTTGAGCAGAGTACGGCTGCTGCGCCGGGTAGAAATCCTGCGAGCCGTGGAGCGCACTCTGCCCGCTGTAGAAGCCCATGTCTGTGGAGGAGGACTCCGGCAGGGTCGGGGAATCCTTGGCGGCCGAGATGGAGCTCCCAGCCACGGGGAGGCAAGGCTTCTTCTCCTCGAAGGCAGGTGAGGGTTGCCCGTTCATTCTCAAGCGTTTTAGTGCTTTGCTCTGCACTCAAAACCCAGAAGTGTTCAGGAATCCTCGCTGTCTGGAGCTGGCGTTCCCAAACTCCCTTGACGCAGCAGCAGGGCTGTCCACCGTGGCGGTGCCCAACCCAACGAGAGCTCGTAATTACAGGGCGCGCCGAGAGGAGCCAAGCCGGGCAGGACAGAGGGGAGTGAATGTCTCCTTCTCATTGGTTCGCCTGCTCGCTCTCTGCCTCTGCCCTGAGGCCAAGACAGCGCTGACTGTCGCCTGTCTGGCTCCCTTCTTCTCCCCACAGAAACCTCCAGCAGCCTATAAGCCTCTCCCCTGGCCTGCACCAGAGCGCGTAAACAGTTGGCAAGCCCGTAAAGTCCTCTAACTAACATTTACCTCGACCTATCTTGAAGACAACATGCGAGATTCTCTCGGCAGAGCAGATAAAGATTTACCAACCAAACCATGCACAGCGGTGTTGTGATAAGGACTGTTTACGCATTAGCTTGACGGTGCTGCCTCCCATTCAAATGCAGATACAGAGCCAAGCGCTGCTGTCGACCCACGCTGGGGGTTATTTACACTCACTCAAAAGCTTGTTTTTATAAAAGGCTTTTCCTTATTAGTGTTGACTTGGACCCCAGGCAACTCCCATGCCCCAGGAAAGAGAAAAAGCCACCACAGTAAGCCTACAAGAAACTTCAAAACTTAGTTCAGCGTTAAGTTTAGTTCAGCCTAAAATTTGACTGCAGATAGTCAAAATATGTTAATTTCCAAGTGGAAGAGAGAAGCGTTCTTGTTAGAAACTACAAATAGAAATAACTGCAATAACCATATATATATTTATTCATACCAGCTAAATGCTCAAGTGTAGGGGGAAGTTCAATGTCCCTTAAGTATAGCGACATAATCTCGCCACCAGATGTCACTAATGAGACTCTGAAGACTTCAGAATATACAGCAACAAACTTGAGATTCGTTCACTACCCCGTTTTCTTTCACTCTCAGTCACAATGCGTACTGTTCAGGTGTCACAGACTCAATATGCAGACTTTATAAATAAAAACAAAATAATCCAATCGTTATTGAAGTCGTTTTTTTTTTTAAATGACTTGAGCTACTCTACTCTCTCCACATACCCCCTAGCAACTGCAGAAGTATCCCAGGTTGGAAATCACTGATCTTAAGCATGCAACTCTATACAAGGGAAATGAAACACATTTGAAGCATATTGCTTCACTGAAAAAATGTAACCTCCTGTGAGACTCACTAAAGGACAAGCTTAATGAACCAAAAGTAAACGCCTGGAACTCATTTCCATGATTCTAAAATCACACAACTTGCAGGTTTAAATTTTTTTTATTAGCATTTGTCTTTCTCTATGTCATATGGTAAACCCTCAAGAGTCCTTGCAAAATTAAGTTCCCGGAAATGTACAGCTTGATTTTCTTCATCCAAACCCGCCCTTTTCTGCCCAACAAACCATCACATCTCAGAACGCAGAGTTCTCTCTCCAGTCACGTGTCGAGCGTCAAAAGCACTTTGTGTGACTGACTCTCGGTGGCGAGGTTTGTTCTGTTCTTACGCATTATAAAAAAAGGGGACAGTGGGATTACATCAGGCCTTGGATGATGAACAGAGGCGCTTGGCAATGTTATATACAAACAGGAAGTAGGAGTGCTGAGTAGGTAGAAGGAAGGGGGCGTATAGGTGACTCCAGTGTGGTGATGAATGTCCTCCTCTCCATGTGGCATGGTCCCCAGTGGACAGAAGAGCAAATTCCCTGTATGGTCCACGAATCCCAGAATGCCTTGTGAACGAGTGAGACCACTCGGGGTGAAACAGGTGAGGCGGCAATGGTCATAGGAAGGGTGTGAGAAGACAGGAGGGGTTGTTCTGACTGCCTCATTCTTCAGGTGACCTAGTTAACTGTGGGGCAGCACTTTTCAAAACCGCAGAACATTGGAGAAATGCAAACATTCAGTTTCAGGGCTGGTTGGCACACTGAACAGGACAGGTAGAATCCAGTGTGAGACAGACCGACCAACCAACCCACATTTACACGCTGGGACCAATTTCTTTTCTATATAATACATGTATGAATAAGTACTGTATATGTATTCTTTATTGTTATTTTACAAGATTCCCTGATGGCCAGCGCAGAGAGAAACGGGACATAAAAGGGGGAAAGGAGGCTTGTCCAATTATACGTACAGTAGAAACCAGTGGTGGGAGAAGAAAAGAGGGGGCACAGTGCCTGAATTTGTCCATATGGAGTAGCACGTTGCGTCAGATCAACCCCAGTCAGATAGGAAGGAAGAGACAGAAGGGAGGGAGAGCAGAGGGAGGACCAGGAGGAGCGGCGTGTAAACCGCGTCAGTTAGTTGTTCGGTTGGGTCGTCTTCAGGTGGTCGGCTGGTTTGTTTTGCTTGCTGGGTTGTTTAGTGTTTGTAATCTCCTCGTCCTCCTCCCCTCGTCCCTTCCCGGTTGAAGTGAACGATCAGCGCAGCTCTGACTGGCCCGCATCACTCCGGACAGGAGGACCGATAGTTTCGCTCTCTCTGAGGGGGGGGAGGGAAAAGGCAGGTTGAAGACAGACAACACTGAGATTTTACAGAAACATACGGTTTTGGTAAATGAGCTTGATATTCATTTTAGCAAACTGTAACATGTTTTAGAGGGTTAGGCTGGTGGTATATTTCCCATGTTGTCAGCTGTGCCTACGTGAAGGCATGTTAAAATAATGGTTTCACATGTTGAGAAATCCACTTATTGTCTTGCCATGATTTAGATGAGAAGATTGATACTCCTCTCTGTAAAGTCAACATGACACTGCATCCAGTTACTGTAAGAGGTGCTGGGAGGTGGATTTTCTGCTTTCCACTTTTCAGTTTTTTTTGATAAGCTAAGCTAACCAGCCCCTAGCTGTTGCCAGATATGACTGATTAATGCACATTTGGTGAGTACTTACAGCACCAGTATGTGGCAGCTAATGACTACTTTCACTATCAAACAGTGGCACTCGAGGACTGACCTTATGTTAGCTTCTTGGCTTTGTTGTAGAGCGAGTCGACCACTTTGCTCATGTTCTGAATGGTCTCCAGGGCCGCCTCGTATGTCTTGTCCACTACCGGCTCTTCAAAGACAATCAGCACACCTTCCCCTTGGTCCAAAATACCTGTCAGGTAGGAATAGGGTGAGATGATAAATGGAGGAAAACAAAGAGAAGAATTGTGAAAAACTATTGGAGGGCTGAAACACAAAACATTCATCTCTTCTCTCTCTCTTCCTATGGAGCACACTGAAAGAGCAGCAGACACATACCGTGAAACTTCTTGTCCAGGATCATCTGTGATAATTTCCTCTCCACGTCTCCCTGCAAGGCAGACACAATCTGTCTGTAGGTATTTCATTGTAAGAAACGAAGGAATTACTTAAAATGGGCAACTCGTACAATAAAAGTGAAAGTCTAAACAGAAACATTGATGAAGACGAGTGAGATCTTACCTTAGAGAGTTTGATGAGGGAGGAAATGTGTGCTATCTGTTAGAGAAAACAAGGACAAGCACGATGATTAAAACCATCAGACAGTAAGTATAGTTAGTAAGTATACTAAGTATTTCTTCGTGCTTACTCATATTTACTGAGTAAGCTAGTCTTCATGAACTTTGCTGAGTTATACCTTAATGTAACTGAATCTGGCTGATAGAATTCTGCTAAACAAAGTCTCCATATCCTGAACAAGGTTCCACATCTGTCTGAAGCAACTGTGGCTGAATACGGACAGATGTGAAAAGATTACCTGGACCCTGGAGAAAGGTTCGATGACCCTGATGAGGTTCTGCTCCAGCAGGTTGTCATACAGAGTGGTGAGATGGGTGCTGATGATGGGGTCATCCCTCAGCTCTGCTTTGTACTCTGTTAGTGCCTGGGTGGGGGGGTGGGAACAGGACATTTTAATCCCAAATGAGGGGAAAGGCTAAACCATCATCCAAACTTTAAACAGAAAGACAGGGTTCCAGTCACAGCAGGTTCATTTATAATGTTGATTTGTCCACAGCCACAACAAGGTCAACATACAGCACCGAACTCCAGACACAAACCTTTTCAAAGTCTGCCAGAGACCGGTTCTTGCTGGCTTGTGCCACACATTTCAGTGAGTCTGTCTACAGAAAAAGAAAACAAAAGGCAATGGTACGTGACAACGGATAATGCAAGAGACACTGCAGAATGCACTACTGTATACACAACATAAATGTTAATAAATAAATCCAATTTAACTGACTGTTTGCTAAGACCCCCCCCCCCCCCTTCAGTTACTGCTGCTACGACATGTTTCCTTGAAACGTCGCGCAACAAGCATCAAGGTCTGGCTGGGCGATACGGCCAAAAATTTTATCACAATAAAAATGTCATATCATTCGATTTCGATAATTATCACAATATATGTCAAATCATTATTTCTTTCAAGTTTACAGGCTGATGTTTGCTCCTGAGTAAAAACTGAAGAAACCAGATAACTGTGGTTTTAAACCTTTCTTTATGGTCAGAACGTGAAAAACACTTGATGCCAAAACAGTGGACCACTCAACAAACGTTCAAAACAATTATGATGAGTAAATCTTGTTTCAGTCCCTTTTCCTCAACTATAAATATCTTATTCTATAGAAAAACTGAGTGCCAATTCATTCATGATTCAAATTAATTAAATCAAACATTTAAGGGTACGATATGTTGAACATTTGTTATATTGTTATTGAGGAAAATTATATTGCGATAATTATCATTATTGTTTTATTGGCCAGCCCTACTTCGAGGTATGTTTTGTCCTGTTTGGTGGGCGTGTCACAGGTGTTACCCAATCAGCTGCGACAAGTTTGTAAACACAACTGTGTTAAAAGGCAGGGAAATTGCGTACACAACAGGGTGTTTGAGGCACCACCGTTTCCGTTGAAAAACAAACCTAAACCCTGCTTTCTGTTCTCACACTGAATTACATTATACAATATACAGTTGACAATCCTCTTTCAAAACAGTCTCAGAGACAAAAGCAGCTTCTTATTTCTAGCCAGTGACCGCTGATTTTGCAGTCAGGGATTACTGTAGTCTAAACTTAGACCTAGACGCACAGTTAGTGAAAACTTCACAGTGGATGTCCTAATCATGAAGAGAGCATTTTTAACCTTAAACTGTGACCTCACAAACGAATGCAGTTTGTTAATGATGTGCACCCCTGCCTTGGAAATATCGATTGGTTAGGTGCCCAGCTAACTAGCTTCAGTTAGATAGCCATGCTAATATATACTAACACAGAGGTGGATTTTCAATCCTGTCCCATTGTGTCTGAAACTGACTAATATCCTGTGGGAATCCCTGAAAAAATGTCAGCCTGTACTCTAGAGAAGGCTTTTGTGAAGTTACAGTGTCTAAGCTACGATTGGACAGTCACCATTCAGGGAAAGAGGTGTAGCAAGCAGTCAGTGAAGTTTAAACTAGAAATAAAATCCATAGGAATCAAGAGTGATACCTGTCTGCCAGCATACCGCAGAGCTAGCTTGCCACTGATGAGGGCCTGGACATCCTCTGGACTGAAACAGAAACAGTAATCAGACACAGCAGGAAAAAAGCTAATTCTGGGTTCTCTCAGAGTGAAAAATTAATTTCACTGCATTCTGGCAACTCATGTAAACATGTTAAATATTTTCAACATAGTCCCACATCGTACGTTAAATGTTAAAACCCAGTATTTTATGAATGATGGCCGCAGAAACAAAATCATAAATATCAGGGTACCCCCAGGATCCTCCAAGAATATAATGCAGCAATCAGCAGCTTGTTTTTAGCTTAAGTTACTAAAAATGTACTTTTCTGGACAATGCACATTTGTTTCTTCTATATTTAAATAGCATTGCATGTTAATTATGCCAATGTAAATGCCGACTGCACCAGTGATCATTCATCCTGTCCTGTATTTGCATCTCAAGGCTGCTTGAAATATAGTTTTATATAGTATTGGCTTGAAAGCAGCGGGATACAGAGTTGGGCTCCGGATTGTTTTTTCCTCGTCCCAGTAATTTCCACATCTGGGTGATGTAAGTTTAATGTGCGTTAGCATGTTGGATGTTTCACATCAACGCCGACACACAGACACCGTTCTCGTCTTATACACAACTGTCTCTCCGTGGCTGTTGCAGGTCTTCCAGCTCCGCTGTTCCATTACTGCTCGCTAGTGTGAGTGACTCGCACACCTATCCGCTTGTTGTGTTAACCTCAGCACCACTGCCCTCTATGCGTCAAGTTGTCCATATCTCTGGCCTTCTGAACTTCAGACACTTGCCCAATCTGAGTCGACCAACTAACGTTAGCTTGTTAGTAGCACTTCAGAGACGTTTTGTTTTCTTGACAAAAAGAAAATTTAAGACCTTTGTAAATGAAATTTAATACTTATAAGGCCTTATTTTTTGAATATGAAATTTAAGACTTTAATACTTTTAAGACCCCGCGGGTACCCTGAAAAATATAAGCTGTACTTATCATTAGAAAATATAAGTGCAGGCCTGTGTAAAGTGACCTGAGTATAGTTTCGCAGACGATCATGTGTATATCACTTACGCGTTGAGCGTGATTTTGCAGAGCAGCATGTATTTGAGGGCTGTGATGGCTCGGGGGCTGTCAATGGAATCGTAGCCCTCAAAGGCCTCGTAGAAGTAGGAGTAAGCTGTCTTCCAGTCTTTCTCCTCTGCTGCGTGAATGATCCCTGGACACACAATCAAAACACACACACACGTAAGTTTAACTGCAACAGAGAAGAGCAATTTCCATTTTCTTCACCTACCCTGAAATGATAAAATCTGGTGTATCTGTTCAGTAAAGCTGGGCATACACTGTACGATTTCAGAATTCGTCTGCAATGTAAAGCCAAAGCTCACGATTTATGAGCTCACACTGTATGGTCTGATCGTCAACCGGACTCCAACCATTCTGGCTATTGATAATTGTCAATAAAGATTTGTTTGAAAGCTCTGAGGTAGGTAGAAGTCTGTTTGCTAACAATGATGCTAACAAGGCTGAAACGTGCTGCTTTGATCACCTGTGTCATCCTATGTGCTGAAACATCTGAGACAAAAACAAAAACAAAACAGAGGTGCAGGCGAGTCTGGACTTGCACGTGGCTCGGAAGATGTGGACAGTATGGCTTGTCCATTTTGCAGCTAATTGGGGGTAAGTTAGCTACATTTAACTGTGCATATATTGTTAACTTGATGACTAGTGTTGTGTCGCCTTGTGAGAAAAAAAGGCATTGATTGTGGGGAATCGACTCGTGGATCTGCTTTAACTCTCCAACAGCCAACCCCAATTTCTGACATGTTGGGGAATTCATCTAACTGTGTGACGGCTGTTCTGCAGCAGTTGATTGGTCCTCGCTCCCCCTGTACACAGCACAGAAAATTACAGCCGACGAAGCTGAAACGGTCCATCTCTAAAATGAGTCGTGTGGCTCAAAATTCGGGTCACAGCTGGGTTCAAATCGTACAGTGTACAGCTTAAGTGGTACATACAGCTGGGAAACAGTGATTTGTGTTTGTCCTGCTTCGTACCTGACTGCATGTCTAAAGCTGCTTGTAGTTTGGGTGGGCAGTAGATGGCGTTGGCGGTTGTCCTGGCAGATGTAAGGGCGGCGCGGGCTTTAGGCAGATTACTGAGTGCATGGTATGTCTTACTCTCCAGCAGCTGAACCTCCACCAGTAGGGCCTTGTCGTCCATCTTCTTCAGCTCCTGCAGCAACTGGGAGCCTGAGGAAGGAAGTTTAGAGTCAACGCAATGCTTTCAGACTAACATTCTACACGCCACCATTTATGTTTTACACACTGTAATTGTCAAGCTAATTAAAACAACCACCACCACTCTGGGAGATTCAACACTTACCAAGATGTAGTGCCTCCTGGTAGCACTTTGTGTCGAAATACAGTGAGATGAGACGAGCCTGAGGAGAGAGGAGAACAACCACCATCTCAGGGCCCAGGTCTACAACATTGTTTGTTTATGAGTTTGTCCACACACACACACACACACACACACACACAGGTAAGAATGTTGACATTTCAGGGAATTTCCTTCCATCCTTCCATCAATTATTGGACACGTTAACAATAAATAGTAATGGCCCAACACAATGCATTTTCCGTAATGACAGTGTTTTGAAATGTCTGTTGTGGCCTGAAAGCACCACACAATCTATGTAAATTAGGTGTGATCAGCAGATTCAATTAATGCTTTAAATTGCAGTGCTCTGACTCACTTCTGTAGCTATTTAATGAATACCGGACAAGTTCAAAATATTTAATTTAGCAAATGATGCTGCGTGACTTACAAGTTTTATTTAAGGACATACATTTGATGAAATCAAACATGTTGGGCAGAGCTGGCCCTTAAAACATAGTCTAGCCCTTTTATTTCTTATATCTGGTGATGATGGGGTAAGCTGAGCGCTGTTTGTTCACTGTAGTCCAGTCCAGCTGCTGAAAAACCCTGCTCAGGTGCAACAGTATCGTTTCATTTTGACCAGTACATTGGATTAACACATTAAAAAGGTGGGAATGTCAGTTGGAAACTTTGTGGCTTTCATTTTGATGCACTGCTCGTCTCTAGAGTTAACTCTGATCTCCACTGCCAGTTTGGCATTAGCCTCTGGGTAGCTAAGCTAAACTGAAATACAGTGAAATAAAGAAGATAGATCTTTTTTCACACAGTTAGCTAAAAAAGACAGGCACCACAAAGAGCAATCCTAATCCTGATGCGGCCTCTCTTTTTGGGTTGCTGGACAAGTGGCAACAATAAACCACATCACAGTTTGTACATCGCAAAACTTGCACTTATCTCGCGCCACTTGAGTATGAATGGTCTGTTCGAGCAAACAAAGCTAAAAAAGAACAAGCCCTGCGACGCCAGGTCTCACCTCTAGCGCCTGTCGGAGGAATGTTCTCTTCTCAACCTTGGCCCACTCTATGCACTCCAGGCAGAGGTCTACCTCCTGACCCGTGGCAGCTTCCATGTCCAGGAACAGGTCCAGTAGGGAGCGGACCAGCCGGGCTGCCTTGGCCTTGGAGATGGAGTTAAGGAAGGGGCGTACATACTTCAGCAGACCCCCAAGCTCTGAGAAGAGGTCAGGAGGAAAAAACAGACAAAGACAACATCTGAATATAAGCTTATGATCAATCTGCCACAATGGCTGGTGAATGTGCAAATGTTATCTGAGTAAATCAGATTATTACAGAGTAGCAAAACTTCAAAAGAACACATTGCTATTTTCATAATGTTTCCCAACAGATACAAGAATTGTCAAAATTTCAGAGGGAACAGAGAACTATTTAGGGAAATGTTACGACCTAGGGCAGCTACTAACGATCAACATTGTCGATTAATATGTCAATTATTATTTTGGTTAACCAGTTAGTTGTTTGGTCTATAAAATGTCAGAAAATGGTGAAAAATCAGTGGTTCCCAAAGCCCCAGAGGACATCCTCAGAAGTTGTGTTTTGTCCAAAAATCAAAATCAATTTGAAATTAGGTGTTGATTTATAGCTGGCAACTAATCGAGGACTCTGGAGGAGCTCCATTTGTAAATAGGGAATGATATTGGACCCAGCCTAGGCCTGTGAAGAGAAAGTTCATTTGACGAGGGTTATACTTCTTCCTTTTCTACTGTTCTGATGACTCACAGCACTTTCACTGGCCCAGATGTGAGGCAGGAACAAACTTCTCTTCCCAAGGCCACTCTAGCCATTGAAAACATTCTTGTCTTTACTTATTTTAACTCCTTGTCTTCATCCTAGTATTTCAGTTTTAGTAACATTACTAAAAATGAACTTACATATGAATATTTAAATGCTTTACAGCATTTTGCTACAAATACAGCAATCCACAGATGTGCTACAATATGTTTTAATGTGTGAATCTGTTTTCATGTAAAAGACAACTTCTGCTGACACACACACAAAAAAACAGCCTGACTTAAGGAAAAATCTGATGCTATAAACAGGTATTAGGTCAATGGTGAGTTGCAGTCTGCACAAAGTAGTTCAATGACATCAGAACTCACTCATGATAAGGCTTAGTAAGGAGGGACATGCCTTCTTTGTCCAAAATATTTCTTGTTTTTTATAAGGGCACCCCATGGAAATACCGACAATTCTGTGAGTCTTTATCAGCAAAATCAAATCCCAACATATATAGTGTGAGAACAATCCAATTACACCAAAATAAGCCTCAAAATCCTCAATCTATTCAGTGTGACATGAAGCTTTGTGTGCACCCAAATCAGTTTTAGGGTCATGTTACCTGCAGCCTGTCCTGTCTTGGCCAGCAGCCCACCCAGCTCCAGGATGCTCTGCTCTTTAACACGCACCGCCTCCTCATCACTCTCCTGGACGTCCCGCTTCACTACAACACACACAAACATATAATGATGATGTAATCTGATCCGCACTGACATGAATCACCGCCATATACAAACAGTGAGACTGCTGATGTTACACTCTTTCCTTCTGCCTCTAGAGACTGCCATTATGTCACATCATGGAGAGGTTTGGTTGGATGGCAAGCAGCCAAGTGGCTAACGAAGCTGGAATACCTGGAATACCTGTCAAATTAAACAATAAACGACGACAGCTACATAGCTAGCTTTAATAATCGTCAAACATTACATATAACATGGTATGTGTGTATATGTATATATACACACAGGCTGTCACACACATATACACACAGGCTGTCACACACATATACACACACACAATCACCAACCAGAGATGGTGACTACGTAGGCGATGTTTAGAGAGTCAACTCGGTTTCACATTAATTTCCTTGTCGGCCTGACATCTGCCAAGACGAGTCACAGCTACGAACAACGCTGGCTGCATACTAACGTTAACTAGCCAGCTGTCACCCGATTTCACATCAAATGAATGAGCCGGGGCAACTAACGTTAGCCTATCTGATAAGCTAGCCGGTATACCGCTAGCCGGCTAGCCCACTGCTGCTGACTCACTGTGCAAGCTAGGAGAAAAAAGAGACGGCCAGCACTGGGCTAGCTAACTTAGCTTAGCTGCTAACTGGCTAACAGCAACGCTGGCTAACTGAATTGCTACACGTTTGATGGAGGGGGTGAATTAGCTTCAGTGTCTTGAGTCTGTTTTTTTTTCTTTCTTTCTACTGCCATACTGTGTCGATTATATTTACCTATTGAATGTAAGATATCGATAGAGGCATTCCGGTCTGTTCCAAGAAGAGACTGTGCTCTCTGAAACTCAGCCACTGCCGCGGCTGCCATCTTTCCTCTGCCTGCCTCCGCTCCGCTCTGCCTGCTTGTTTTCCGGTCAGGTCGTTCACACGGTCGGGAAAATGCTGCCCCCTACCGGTGATGCATATAAGTGCAGGAGCATCTGTCGGGTTTATTAATCGTCATCTGTCGTTTAGAGCGTATGGTCATTTAGGGGGATAAGGTTTTATTTGACGCGAGGAATAGCGTTTTATTGATATCAGTCTGAAATTTGCTGGTGTCTCAAAATTCCCTTACAACTTCTACATCTTATACTATGCTTTATAATTAGGTTTTTACAAGGCAAGAAATGAATGTAAAGTATCAAATTTAGCGAAAGTTGCCACGCCGATTTGCTAGTGACACAATTTGATTTGACAGACAAACTGCACTATCAACAAGCTATTTTGCACCTGCAGAAAAATGTGTCTTTTATTATTTGTGTGAATTCACTCTGTCAAGCCAGAGCAGGCCAAGAGGTAATTTGGATTACATTTAAAAATAGGAAAAGGGATATGTTGTAACACACAAAAATCTATTTGAAAACTAAATAACTAAATAGGTTTTGTTTAAATAATTTTGTCTGCAATGTGCACTGCTATAGCACCTTTGTATTTTGGTGATAATTAGCAATACAGTTAGGCCTACATCTACACTCATTAGGTACACCTGTTCAATTGCTTGTTAACACAAATAGCTAATCAGCCAATCACATAGCAGCAAATCAATGTATTTAGGCATGTGGACGTGGTCAAGACAACTCGCTGAAGTTCAAACTGAGCATCAGAATGGGGAAGAAAGGGGATTTAAGTGACTTTGAGTGTGGCATGGTTGTTGGAACCAGACGGGCTGGTCTGAGTATTTCAGAAACTGCTGATCTACTGGGATTTTCACACACAACCATCTCTAGGGTTCATAGAGAACGGTCCAAAAAAGAGAAACTATCCAATGAGCGGCAGTTGTGTGGACGAAAACACCTTGTTGACGTCAGAGGAGAATGGACAGACTGGTTTGAGATGACAGAAAGGCAACAGTTACTCAAATAACCATTTGTTAGAACCAAGTTTTGCAGAATACCATCTCTGAACGCACAACATGTCAAACCTTTAAGCAGATGGGCTACAGTAGCAGAATACCACACCGGGTGCCACTCCTGTCAGCCAAGAACAGGAACCTGAGGCTACAATTCACACAGACTCACCAAAATTGGACAATAGAAGCATGTGGCCTGGTATAGCCACTTGCCTAGGGCCCAAAATGTCAGGGGGCACTGCAAGAGAAAGTTTTCTTCCTGGCGGGATTCAACTCCGCCCAACAAATCTTACATGCATGGATGGGTGGAGGGAGTGTGTGGGTGTACGCTGTGATAGTAATCAAGTGCACCCACCTTGCACTGTGAGTCTAGACAGTTGTAACGAATGGTAACCTAACCAGGGGCATCACACTAAAATCTGGGCCCTGCACATGAGCATTCTCTATGGGCCCTTTCCCACATCCACAGCTATTCATTCTCTTTGTGGGCCCTCCACACATGAGGGCCCTGTATGCTAAGTCCCCTTCTCCTGACCTTGAATGAACATTCAAGGAGAGGAGAGGAATAGCAAGTAAGGAAAACACAAACAATGTCACAGCTCTGACCTAAACCCTAGTACACGTGGACAGACTAACATAAGGAGTATAGAGGAAGGAAAGGTTAGGGATAGAAACATATATATACACATGACATAAGAATAGTAATAAGAGCATGCATAAAAGATTAAATGTAAGAGGAAACAATTGTCTGCCATAACAGTAGGGTCATAATTTGGTGTAAACAACATGAAAGCATGGATCAATCCTGTATTCCACAGTCACCAGATCTCAATCCTACAGAGCTCCTTTGGGATGTGGTGGAACGGGAGATCCACATCAAGAATGTGCAGCCAACAAATCTGCAGCAGCTACGTGATGCTATCGTGTCAATATAGACTAAAGTCCCAGAGAAATGTTTCCAACACCTTTTTGAAAGTATGCCACGAAGAATAAAGGCTATTCTGAAGGCCAAAGGGGGTCCAACCTGGTACTAGCACTAAAGTGGCCAGTGAGTGTATGTGGTTACTGTGACTAGGGGACAACTTAAAAACTGAGAACACTGTGCTAGACAAGTATAGTATACAGGTTTCACTTAAATAACTGTAGTTCTGTAATGGTGTGGGTGTGTATACAAAGTTTGTCACAGCTTCAATATGATTTCAATCAGAGAGAGGCAAACAGTACAATAAAGCACATCAACGTGTTAAATATAAAAAATAACCTTTATTTCACAAAACATACAGAGAAAATCAAATCTCACAAGGTAGGTCACTCATGACAGCCGCGTCTTCTTTCACAGGACAACGGACAGGTAGTCACAAACCTGAAACATAAGTCAACAATAAACTTGTGTTGCCAAAAAAAAATCCATTCTTTACAACCAATACTGTTTCTGTATGGAACACTGATCATTCTTCCTTCAGGGAAGCCGGGTCAGTCAAGTAGCAGAGAATACATAAACATACAAAATAAAAATAAAGAACATATAGCACTTCTTTCTTTATGTCAGCTATGGAGAAAAAAAACATTCTGCAGCAGGGAGTTATGTTATGTTTTCCCACAGCAGCAACAGATTTCCTTTGGTGTGAGACGGTGCCGTACCTTGCAGCTTATCATCAGGTTGGGTGAGAGTTCTGTGTTGGGAGCTACAGAGAAAATCGGGTTGTGGAGACAGTCCTCCATGTGCTCCGACACCCTGGTCTCCAGAAGATGCCGCAGGACATCAGGGGTGATGTTCCGTTTCTAAAGACAGGGTGCACAATGTTCCAGCACTTTCGCCAAAGCCATTCCTTACTTACATAATCAAACCCTTTGCTTTTGTCCATTATTTTACAGGCTTTTAGCAGAGCCACCAAAACATGCTGTTTTCTACAATTAAAAACATTTGAGGGGTTTTTGTTTTATGTCTACAAATTTTCAACACAGGACCAATATCTGTATATGAATGGATACAGGTGTGTGATAGTTTTCTAGGGATATAAGAATCATATTGCCGGGACTTCCTGTCTAAGTAATGTATTTGTCTTTCTTCTGTTTGGGGAATGATCGAGCTCTAAAATTTCAAAGTACAGATGTAAACAGGAAGTATAATGTTGCCATAGGGTCAGTAACTTAGCTGTGGGCTACTCCTCGACCTGTGTTTGTTATACTGCATAATGTCCTGTACCCGTGGATGTACAGACATCTATTACTGGATTACTTTGGTACCGAAGAAAAACTTAAAAACATGATGATTCTCAGGCAAGTTCTGGAGTTATAAGGAGTGTCTTTTTTTCCCTGGGATTTCTAAGGGAATTTCTTAATGTTTATCTCGCAGTGGACATGGCAGACAAGGATGTCCCCAGAAAGTGTGCGAAACAGTTATATGGATTAAACGAAGCATCGATGCAAAGAATTTGTGTCAATGCTTTTTAGTCATCAAATTTATTAAGAAATCGTTTCCTGCGTCCCTAATTTTAAATGGATAGCGTTTAACAAACAAACCTTAGTGTTAATGTACAATCCACAGGGGCAGGAGATGAAATGGCTGTTGATGCTCAAGTTGTTCCTGGGAGACACAAAAAGCAGGCTAATGTTGAATCATTAAAATGTGTTTATCATCAATAAAACTCCTGACATACAACAGAAGCGACAGATTTCCATATGTTTCCTTTTGCAACTTAAGGTATAACTCACTGCAGTTGAAAGGCTTTGTAAGACCGGTTTTGAAAATTGTGGTGTGTAACTATCTGCCTCTGTCAATATCTTACAATATAACATTTTTGAACTCACGTGTGACACACAGGGCAAATGATATGGATCTCTTCCATCCCTTCCACAACAGACGATATGTATTGCTGCTCAAACTGCAGGTTCCTTTCGTATTCTTCAATAATAGACATTTCTGAGGCACAAAGAAAACAATAAACAGCGTTAGCAGGGGCTCACGCAACGTTGTAATCTGTGCATCTGTAGAAATATCTCAGCCCTGATGGCATCTGTCTAAATGTGGTATTACTGGACATTTAAGGTCATATCTACAGTCAGTATGCGTTCCTTCATAGAAATGTGTCACCTTGAGACAAGAGTTCCTGCTGGATTTCTTCGAGTACCGCCAGTTCATCATACTCCTTCATGACACTGAACATCTGTTAAATAATGAAGCAGTAAAACTTGTAAACAGGGCTTTCAGCGCTGACAGTCAGAAACAGATAATGTCAAGACTTTGCTCTCTCATTAATTCTGTTCATTCTGTTCTGAGTGCTTTATTGACTGACTGCATGTGAAGAAAGGATTATTTTGAAAATGTGTTACAACCTTTGTCTCAAAAGATGCAGTGGGTTTGTTTGGGTCAATGACAACACAGCGGAAGACAACGCTGCAGAGATTTTTCAGTCACTCGTATTTTAGTTTTTATGAGAGCAATGAGGGGAACTTGATTGAAGAAAATAACCTTATAGTGAACGCACGGTGAGTTAACTTTTAGCTTTGGTTTGTCTCTCTGACTTGCTAACGGCGTGTAAACTGAAGCTCTCAGTGTTGCTGCTCTTGTAAAAATGCTAACGTTGTTCTGTTGCTGTGTGCGTCGTGTGTCGGCAGAGTCTATTGGTCCACTGCACATGATAACACATTACACATTTTAATCAACCAACCAGCATATCTAGAAACGCTACAGACTCCTCTGTATTTATAGTTTTTGGGCTCATTGCAGTTACTATCACTGTCTTCTAAAGACTTATTTGTTTTCATGTAATTGTCCATGGGGTCATTGTATTACCTATAAAATATAAAATCTTGGTAATGCACACTTAGATGATTTTCATTTGTTACCAAAAAGGTATTTGCTGTCATTTTATTTTTTTATGCAAACAAAATGGCAATTGTAGTTTTCAATATAAAACTTGTTGAAATGGTTTCAGTGTGTGTATCAGTACATTAATATTTATTGGCACATTTTTACAATACAGTGGTAATACTGATAACCGTGATAATTTTGGTCACTATAATCGTGATATGAAATTTTCATACCGTTTCATCCCTACTCTGAAGGTGAGGGTCTCGTGGACAATCCATGTCACAGAGCTAATAGTAAGTAACACCGAGACCCAGAGACAGGACGAGAGACACACATAGAAAGTATACCTAGTGAGGAAGAACGGAAAGAAAAAGCCCGACCTCTGCCATGCCGTCTGGACCCCACAGCGAGGGCAGTCTCCGGTCCTCTGACTGCAGGGCCGTCCATTCCTCCTCCATCACCTCCTGGACGATGGTGGAGGCCCCGGAGCCGCCGCCCTGCTGGCTCTCCTCCATCTGACGGTATCTCTCCAGCAGCCTCGACCGGCTGTTTTTGAGTCTGTCTACACAGCGCTACAAAAGTCAGAAGACAAAACCAGAGCAGCACAGTGTTAAACTCTGACAAGAGCTCGCGGCGTCCCGACATGCTAGCTAGCTGAGAAGTTAACATTTGGTGTCTCACTCTGCGGTATGTTTCTTTCCATGGCGGAGTCGTTCCTTTATAAAGGGAGCGGTGTCTGTGCAGAGCGTCCATCTGTAGTGTTGCTAGCGAGTGGGAATTTGCATATATACAAATACTTGTTAAAAGAAACTGACCTAAATTGGGGAAGACTTCAAAAACAAAACATGTCAGCTTTTTACCCCGTACCCCGGAAGTGGATGTGCGCTGCCGCGCATTGCACGGTGGGTTATGTAGTTCAGTGCTGCCAAAAACTGGTTAACTGTCTGCAGCAAGCAAAGTAGAAATGACTGAAGTCTAAAGTTTTGGAATTGCCTTAAAGTACCCAGCACGTGTTAGAAAAAAAACAATCAAACGATTAAAAATATACTTTGAATTTCTATACATATTTCCTACAGTTAAACTATCAGCAAGTACTATTTTGTGAAACCCCTACTAACCTTTAGGCTACTGCAACCTCTTCACTCCCTAACACTGCAAAACCACCATAGTACATACATAGTACACATGTTTTGTCCAATATACTACAAATCCAGTGTTGCCCTACTTTACATTTCAACTGACCATTTCAGTTAGATTTTCTGTTTCTTCTTCTCTTTCTTCTTCTTTTTTTTTAAAAATTATTTCCACGCAGAGTCGTCTTGCAGAGGACTGAACTTTGCTTAAGTATTCTGTCTGAGAAGTCAATACATAAACTACCTCTGTCCAGTCTGAATCAAGCCGTCTTGGATCTAGATATTTGTGTCAATTACTTGTGGACAAAGCAGGAATCCTCAGCTACTTTCTGACTACTTTCCCCTGCTGAGAGAATATTGAGAATGACACCAGCTGATCTGCATCTACAGCACCCGCTGTGGGTTGCCGCATAGCCTATCTGTGGCTTCTGAGATTGGGAGGTCCAGGGGTCGTATTATAGAAACTTCCTAACCGGCAGATCCTGTCCTATCTGCTTGGTAACCATGGTAATAAGGGTTAGGAACTGATTTAGGAATAAGGCCAATACAGATTCATTTCAGTGGTGGATGAAGTATTCAGTCTTTACTAATGTAAAGTACCAGTACATTCATTTAAAAAAATGCTTTATCACAAATAAAAGCCCTGCAATAAAAACAAAGGTAAAAGTACAGATGTATTATCAACAAAATATAGGCTATCAAAATGAAAAGAATTAGTTCTACAGTAAAAGTGGCCATTGACCAACATATAATTATGTATGACATTATTAGAATGGTGATGAATCGATGTGTGAGCAGCATGTTACTGTTGTAGCTGTTCGAGGAGGAGCTTAGATTTACAAGCTAAATATTTAAGCACTTTAGTCCAGTGGTTCTGAACCTAGGGGTCGGGCCCCTCCAAAGGTTCACAAAATAAGTAAGAAAGGATTGTGACATGATTAATGGGAGAGGAAAGACAAAAATAAAGCTTCGACACAAATCTGTATGTTTTCACGGTTTTCCCTAAATGCTCAGCATTCCTTTGTGAAATATTGGATAGTTTCACCTCTTTGAGCCTCAAACAGTCATTGAAATGAAACACTGTTTTTTTTGGTAAGGGGCCACAATGCTTATATGCTTATAAAATTATTTTAGAAATGTATCTGTTTTTATGTAAAATCTTAATCTGAAAACCCACTAAACCTGTCAATCAAATTTAAAAATGGTGTAAAAAAAGTAGTTCCATCTGCAGTGTAATGGAGTATATTTATAATAAAGCAGGAAATGGAAATAGTCTAGAAGTGCTGTTCCTGTTCCTATACCTAATACTGAGAGACCCCCCCCCCCGGTCATAAACCACATAAGCTCCTGGAAAATGAGCTCATGTGCCTGCAGCATGCAGTCTATGGTCTGCAGGCGGATTTGATAGCGGGGACAGGCCCACTCAAGTTGATTCACAAAATCCTCCGTGTTCAGCCCCCCCCAGCAGCAGCTTTGACACGTCTGGTCGGCTGGTTCAGCACCACGGACAGCGACTTCTCCAATAGGCTGCAGCGCGCCAGCGGCCAATGGCTTCAGCGGCGCGGCTGCGACGGTTACGGCCAGCAGCGGCGACAGCATCCCGGCGGCAGCCAATGAGAAGGCGCCGTATCTCTCCCACATCCAACCCGAATAACTGCAGATGCCCGCATCTCTCTCTCTCTCTCTCTCTCTCTCTCTGGCAGGTTTGCATAGCTGAAGTAGACTATAAGCGGCTGTCTATTTTTGGAATTCATTGTGGCCATTTCTCCCCTCTCTCTTGGTATTCTCCCCTTTGTTTTGACTTAGGTTTTTAGACCCATATCTGCTGTTTTATTTATTTCTGATGGAGGTTTGTCCAAGCTGTGAGCATCGTCGCGGGATATTCATAGCCGTGATCGCATAGATTTTCGGCTCTCAATGGAAGACATCTTCCCACTGACTACGGTGAAGCATATTTCGCTTTTGCTTCGCATCAACGAGCGGGGGACTTTTTATAAATGAAGGTTTGAGAAAGGCTGCAGCCCACCAGGAGGCAAACCTGTCGGCCTGTAACGCTGGGGTTTATTTATAATCAGGGACCTAACCGTTTTCACGTCCTGGGAGCTGGACTGCTTGTGCTGGCGGTGTGAAAAGCATTTTCACATTTTGACCGCATTTGCACAGCAGCAAGGGGGGCCAAGGTGTGATACATGGATTTCACGAGGAGAGTGGATTAATCAGAAGGTAGGATCACACAGCGGATTGTTTTTCCGCATGTGGCAACATTTTATTTCAGCCCCGCAAATAATGAACAGCCTAATGCGAAGGCCCAAATAGTGCTCAAAAGCCAACATTATAGACATAATCACTTAATGCACAGTTGTGTGGCCGCTCTATTCTTCATGTTTAGATTATGTAGCCTACATTTAATCCGTGGGTGTGTAAGAGCACAGGCTGATGTTTCTGAAGCCGCCTTGTGTTGGAGGCTGTTTTCAAGGCTTCCATTTTGAAGCTAAGATGGATGCTTGCGCACATTTCTTTCTCATGCATCTCTGGCCTTATCTTGGTTCTTATATAATACTGAGGAACACTGGAGAGGATGCAGGCCAGTGTTACACTGACCTGAGAGGCGATGCATATGCTTTATGTAGAGAGATATCACCAGCGTTGTTTATTCACAGACACTAAGCCTCCATTGGAGATTAAAACCAAATGACAAAATGCATGGTTGCTGAGGTCCCTTCTATTAAACTATGGAGGCATGCTCATTGTCTTTGATAAGAAAAGAATCCTTTATGTGATTACTGTTGAGCATTTATTACACAGGTGTTGCGGTCTGGATATTATATTGTGAAGGGATGCCATCAAATGGTGGCTATAGAATTTATAAGAAAATTTAAATCACAATGAGATCTCAGAGTGAAAACATAATGAGACCATATTAAGTTATATTCATTTATCATCGTAGATTCATGTTTAAGCATTTTTGTAAAATTCAGTCAGTAACCTTTTGAAATCTTTAAAGGTTTTCTTTTAAGTCACTCCCCTCAAAAAACCCAACACTTAACTCAAGGTCTACTTACCAGTTTTTGGCTGAGCTTTTAACCACATTCCATGCCCTTCCTCTGGGAAAACTTGATAAGGTTTCTCCTCACTCACTCCTCACCAAAACATTAAGTACTCAAAGTCTACTTACTAGCTTTTTAAGGGATTTCAATCACGTCTTAAGCTTATGATACACGGAGCAACTTTTCGAGCAGTGGTGCTGGGCAATGTTGCCATCAATGGTAATGAGTAAAGATTACTAACATACTCCCCTTCCCCCATCACTCCACCACCCACCCCGCCCGCCATTATCCGTTCAAAACATAGCCAGACTTGCCACCAACAAGATTACCCAGCAACATTGCTCAAAAAGTTGTCCCCGTGTTTCATCACCTTTAGGGTCTTCTTTGGGAAATAGAGTTCGAATCAGTTGACATGGTTGCTAGGTGACGGCAAAATCACCATGGAAAAATCTATCTGGGCATCTGAGTAAACTCCATCAGCAGAGGAAAACTGTGAAATATGGCTGAATGCTTCAGAAAAAAATCCCAAACTACCATGAAAACTTTTCACTCTTTACAAAAGAAGTAAAAGCCGGAGTGTAAGAGTCTTTCTGACTTTGGAAACTCAACGGACCTTGAGTTAAGATATAAAGCCCCTGCAGCTTTATTGCTTGCTCAGTTGTCATATAACTGGAGGACAGTGAGGGCACTGTGAAAGTGTTTGTTGTCGATGACTTAATTTTGCATTGTTTACGACATGTAATATAACTAATAGGGAATATTGCTACTCCTTTGTGTTCTTTACTCACAGGTTCAACTTCCTCTAGAAGTGAAACACTTTGGTCCCCTCAAAGCTCTTTCCCTTGACCAATCAAAGAGCTTTCCTCCAATTAGTTCCCACTCCCCCCCGTTCTGTGTCCCACTGCCAACCCTCGTGCAGGCATCATGGGTACAGTGCTCTCTCTGTCTCCCAGCTACCGCAAAGCAGTGCTGTTTGAGGATGGCCCAGCCACGGTAGGCCACTACACAGCGGTACAGAATAGCAAGAACGCCAAGGATGCTGCTGCAGCAGCCTCCAAGTCCCTCAAACGCCCCTCTATCATCAATGTGTTGCCATGGAAACGCATTGTGGCTGTATCGGCGAAGAGGAAGGGCTCCAAGAAGCTGCAGTCAGAAGGCGGGGACGGTGGGAAAGGGAGCTCCCCGGAAGGCCACACCACTGCCACAGCCAACTCCGCCTCCAATAGCCTGAAGCTGAAAAAGTCTCAGTCCTGCGCTAACCTTTCATCTTACTCCTCAAACCAGGACCCCTCGGCCGCTACCACCACTACCTCCTCCCACCTGCCCATCTCCAAGACCCTGGCAAACGTAGCTACTGTCGCTGCCAAAAAGAATTCCCTCACAGGCTCCGGGATCCAGCCGTCTACTGCAACTGGCACGCCAAAACGTGTCATCGTCCAGGTAGCCTGAACCTTCAGAAGATTTTTCACTAAATTAGTATTTCGAAAGTCATCATCTTTATATAAACTAATTGCTGCCTCATTTCTGCAATCCTTACCCCAGTGCTCTTTGTTAACTCTTTAACTCTCTTAACTTTACTTTTGTTCCTTTTCTCTCTCAAACCCAGGCCTCCACCAGCGAACTAATGCGCAGCCTGGGTGAGTTCCTGTGCCGTCGGTGTTACAGACTGAAGCGTCTATCCCCAACAGATCCGGTGCTGTGGCTGCGCAGTGTGGATCGTTCCCTCCTCCTACAGGGCTGGCAGGATCAGGGCTTCATCACTCCGGCCAATGTGGTCTTCCTCTACATGCTGTGCCGCGATGTGGTCTCGTCCGAGGTGGCCTCAGAGCGCGAGCTGCAGGCCTCACTGCTCACCTGCCTTTACCTGTCCTACTCTTACATGGGCAATGAGATCTCCTACCCGCTGAAGCCCTTCCTTGTCGAGGCAGAGAAGGAAGCCTTCTGGGACCGCTGCCTGGAGATCATCAACCGCATGAGCGGCAAGATGCTCCAGATCAACACCGATCCACACTTCTTCACCCAGGTGTTTGCTGACCTGAAGAACGAGAGCAAGAAAGAGGAGGAGAAGACCAAACTCCTCATAGGCCTTGACCGATAAGAGGGAGGTGGGAGGGGGGGAGTAAGGATGGATACATTGAAAGATTGGTGGAGATAAGAAGTTGGACTTATGTAACGCAGTGTAGTGATACCGGAGATCAGTACTGTTGTCTGGCGTCTCTACTGGTTTATCATTAACCAAATTTCCTGTTTCTAACCCAGCAAAAAGAAGTTTAATTCATTTGAGTTGATTAATGAGCCACCTAAACACTTAACAGGCTTTCAGACAGTTGCAGTAATGGTCTCGTCTGAAGGCAGCAATTGGTATATGGGACACATTCACCACAACAAGGCAAATAAAATCTGGGTTGCTGTGGTGCTGGCCCCACCATCAGCCATATTATATGACATGATTGGATCTGTTGGTATCCAAAGGGTGGGTCACTCAGCTCAGGATGTGACAATAACAAGCTTTAATGCAGAGATATGATCAGTAGTCATTCAAGAATAATGTTACACAGACGAGGGGAACTAGGATTTATCAAATAACTGGCCAGCAGGGTTGGTGATGTGACATTAACAGGCTGTGAGAAAGTGATACACATCATTTTTATCGTTCGTCTCAGGCCAAGAGACACGCATCACCCTAACCTACACCTTGTTTCAGTGAGATATGAAATGAAATCTGATATTCCCATTGAAGTATTTTCCTCTCTTTTGATAAACATGGGATTAGAAATGCCAGACAACACAGATTTAATAATTGAGGGTGAATTTTATTACGATGAAGATACAGGATATTGATACGATGATAATGTGCGATAGCATCCAGGCATTTTCGCTATAGAGAAATGTCAGGGGGATGAAAAACAAGAACCACCTTGCATGAGGTCACTTCATATGTCCTTGCACATGACCACCTGCTCATTGCCAACTCCACTTTACCTTATTCCTTTTGTCCTGCTCAAGCTTACTGCACTCCCCAACACTGGCTGCGAGGTCCACTGCTGAAACTTTAAGAGCATTAAATAACACCATAACACGGACAAGCCGGAATCAACCACAACCCAACTAGTCTTCGACCTTCTCGGACTGTGAAAATTAAGTCACCATTCGGCTTAATTGTACTGTAGTGGATTAATTCATCCGCATCTTACATAAAGTGCTGTACTTTTAGGTGAACATTTGGGTTTATCCAGTCAAATCTGCTATGAATTGGGAGATCAGATGTTTAGTATGATTAGTATGAAATGCTAATCCCTTCAACAAAGATTAATAATTATTAAACAAGTCCTTCAGTAAGATGTTTACATTTACAAAAAACATGGGAAAATGCAATACTGAGCCCTCCAAGGCATATTTTACACGGGGAATTATTTAATTCCTTCCTGTTCCCCTGCACTTTCTCCTGCAGTCCATATTGGTGCTGTCCTGAATGATCATAAGAAATAAGAAAGAAAGAAAGAAAGAAAGAAAGAAAGAAAGAAAGAAAGAAAGAAAGAAAGCGATTTCTGTTTTAAAACACTGCACTCATGTTGTGCGCTGCGTACTGTATTAATGACTGGTGGGCCTTGGTCGTGGTAGACATGTTCAGAGAGTCGATCATGTGATCTGTCTCAACCAATGGCTACACACATCAGAATAATTGAAAATGTGATTATATTCCAGGTGTGTGTGGCAAGTGTAGATGTGACTTTTCTTCCAAAGCAAAGCTTTGATGTTGCAGTCGCCACTTGTTTTAAAGGACCTCCTCTGCTGTTTGAAGTGCACCCTGCAATGCCCCCACCCCCCCACCCCTTCATTACTCTCATTACTAAAACAACACAGATTCTCTCTCTCTCTGTCCATCTGCTCCAGTCTGGTCTGAACTGGTCCTGTCCTGTCTGGTGCGGTCCAGTCCAATCCAGTTGTCCCATATTTAGAGACTCTCTGGTCGGCTGACCTGGCTTACTTATTCACTGAGTTGTTTGCCATGCATGTGTGCTTCTATAGGTTTCTTAGCATGCTGCTTTGTGTTGGGCAGACCGCACAAGATGTTACAGAAGAGACTGGTCGCCAGGCTGAACTGCTGGAAGCTAGACTCAGTGATGTGACATCCAGGCGACTGGGCACAAGGACTCTAATGAAGAAAATGTGTGAAAGGCTGGTTGTGCCTTACATCACATACATGGATAAAGTCCGAGCATCGGTCCCTCATCGGGATTTCCACTGTTCCACTGTTGAGGGGCCCAAAAGACCCTTCCAAGATGAAATAGTTCCCCTTTCAGAAACAAGTTATAGCCTACATGGGCTTAAAAAACTCCAACACCCAGGCAAGAGGTTGGATCAGTTTGAGTGGCTATTTAAGGAGCACTCCAGGAATTTACTATTGCTGTTCAATAAAGTTGGGGGTTTCATCAGACATATTTTAAAACAATAGTCCAAATCAAAGCAGCAGATGGCAAAATATCTTGACTTTTAGCTTCTTGTATGGGTAAGCCCCAAAAAAGCTGGATCCTATACTTCCCACAATGCTAGTGGCTAATGGCCATTCTGTCAAACCTCAGACCTCCAGTTTGTAACATAAACGCTTTCTGTTAAAACTAAAAGTCCCAAGTCCGAACTGAGATTACGCTGATGACACTGTCAGATTATATTTACAAATTTAAGAAAGCTCCCTCCAGAGCCACCGAAGACAAATTCATGTAAAATCTCAGAGCAAACAGAGTGCTTGAAGAGATTACTTACCTGGATGATGTCACATCACTAAGTCTAACTGTAGCCAATAAACCGTCTACAACTTTAGAAAATCTCCGCCATCTTAAAGAGGGCAGAGATCTTGTGCCATATCATTCTAAAGACTCATTATTTCCTACAAAAAAACAACAAAACATGAAGAAACATGAGCCAACTCAAAGTCTCTGACTGAGGAACAAGAAAGACTGTAAAGGAATCACTTTTCACAATGTTGCTATGTCATGTATCAGAGATCAGGACCACAAAAGAGGAACTTTGTTCAGATGGCAAGGACGTGGAGGCAAAATGGAAAGCTTGTGATTTTAATACGCAGTAAAGTTTTATGTGTCACTTTGCAAAACATAAGCCAAAATTGGAGTCATCCATAGCTGGAGCATTCCACATTCTGTTAGTGAATTTATGATTTGTGAAAAGTCATACTTGGCCTGCTCCCTGATAAGATGAAAAACTGAAATGAAATGATGAAACAGTTCCCTATCTATTTAAAAAAAACATGGGGAATGGGATTTTTAAAACTTGTTAACAAATCAGAATGTCATGCCTGTTTCCAGACTGGGTGTCTCCACGGTGCAGTTGATGTTTTAACTCTGGTTGTGTTTAGTGTTCGGATGATAACCGACTTGGCTGCAATAGGTACCATGCTGTGAAAAAAAATATGTAGCCTTGACACAGAGTCGGACCTCACGAGACAAATATGCACATGAAGAATGAATCCATGGCAAACAAGCTTGTTTACATGTTCTTCCTCCGAGCTGTTTCTGATGTGTTGAACAGTACACAAGTAGCATTTCTCTCAATGGTATTTCCAAGGCGACTATTTTTAAAGACTCAAACTGCAAGTAGTAGGCTTGGTGGGAATTATATAACAGCCGGTTAATGGAAAAAGGGATGCTCAAAGCTGACAAATCCTCCTTTCCATGACACATTTGGTGAGCTAAAAGATTCGCTAAGCACTGCCACCATTAATTTCTCTTGCTACACCTACACATCAAGATTTCTGCTCTCAGGCGGCACATGTGCAGTTTACAACAAAAACGGTGGCAGATTTGTGATGAATGAAACAATGGGTCCTTGATTTCACCAATGGTTGATTTTGTTGGCTGAAATTTATCAGATTTTATCAGCTGTAGGCCTAGTTAGCTAATTAAGCTAATGTTGGCTTAATAAGTTTGTTAAAATCCTGTCGCTGGCTGACTTTTTATTGTTTCCATCTGTAAAAGTGACGTAACAGTGCACTTAAAGATGCACTTCCTAGCTACATAAATGACATCTAGCTAAAAGACTGAGGATAAAGCTAACAGGTGCCAGACAAAAAGTCAGCATCCTCATCAGCTACAATCCACGGGGAAGACATGGATGTAGAGGTACTTAGTCCTAATATTGTAACTATTGTTTCACTTTTAATGTTACAAGAGTGTTTGGCAAACTTAACATCTGGGGTAACATTTGCTTACGCTGCTTATCCCAAACTGTTCCAAATCCAATAAAGAACAGGACGGAGCTGCTAACATTTTAGCCTAAACTCTGATAGCGTTCAGGACCAGCCTCCTCACAAAGGCAAAATACTACAAAGTGGATGTGCTATTCATGAATGGGGCTATTTAAAATGCAACTAGTAGCCTCACAAACTAATGTATTTGGTCTTTTGCCCTGGAAGTTAGGCCAGTTATTTCTTGCTAGTAAGCTAGTTAGCTGGTCATGCTAATGATTGCAGCTTACCCTAGAGGAAGTAAACACACTGATTAATCAATTTGTGAGACGTTTTGGTTTTGGAAAGGTGCTTCAGCATGTGATATAAAATATCGACAGGCCTCCTGTGCTTAGTTGCAGTTGCCAATGTGATCAACTAACACTGTGTGAGGGAGGGATTTAGCGAACGGTCAATTCTACTATTTTATTAAATTTAAATTGGACATCCTATCCCATAGAAAACACACACACACTCAATAGTATTATATTTTGAGTATTCAGTACCATGTGGATGTCAGATGACAGGTCAGATGACAGGTGAGATGAGAGGTGAGATGAGAGGTGATGTATTCTCTGTGAAACAAAAGAACTGATGAGCAAAAATCCCTGGAGATTTTTCAAAATGTTTGCTTCCACCTGCTCCGCTCCTTCCAGCTGTGCAGGAACAATAATAAAAAGAGATAGAAAAGCCAGAACAGGAGGCAGAGACAGGAAACGTGTCCTCTGAATGAACTTTTTTATAGAATTGGAGAGAGAAGTATAGGTTGTCTACACCCTCTCCTATACATGCTCTCATCATTGATCAACTTGTGCCATATTTTATCTTGCAACACATACAAAAACCTGTGCAACATATGATGCTTATGATAATGATGATGATGTTATTATGGTTTTCCTTCCTTTTCATTTGTGAATCATATTGTGTAAACAAGAATCTTTGTTGAACAAAAGTCAAGGCTACTAGTGTTACTAGAGTGCTGATGCTGCAGTCTGTTACTCTGTGGATGTATGAATATGTATGTGAGAAATAAGAATAATTTGATCAACTGTTACAGGTACTTTATATAAAAAAAACTTTACAAGCATGGTCTTTGTTTGTTTTCAGGTCATATGATTGTATAGATAGATGTTATGACCCTTTGGAGACAGTTCTTAGTCCGACCACAGGAAGGCAGCACGAAGAGGTTTATGTCGGCTGATGTGTCTGCTTACTGATAGCCTACGTGGTGCATTGGAATGGTGATGCCACTGCTTGGCTTAGAGAAAAGTGAATGAACTAGAGCATCAGTAGGCTACATGTACAAACAAATCTTTAACACTGAATCTTTAAAGTCAACACTGAATCAGCATTGTCACTAACCAAATCAATAGCTTTTAGCAGGGGAGGTCCTCACTGGTGTCTGCTCGGATGTGATTCACACGTTACTTCCTCGCTAAAAGTCTCTGAAAAGACAGTGAAAACCACAGAAACAGTCACAATGTTATACCTTTCATAATGTGTATTCACAAATACTTAGCTACTGAGCTATTAGCCTTAAGTACAGTTCGTGTGTAGGCTAGTTTTGTACAGAACTGTATGTAACAGCATGGACTCACAAGCAAAAGAAAGGTACCAAATGACGATTTGTTCACTGAATTTGTTTTACTTTAAATGCTAATTTATGTCTCTAAACAGTCTAAACAGTTTGTAGTCCTTATTCATGACAAATAATATAAGTTTGCATTTTAAAAGTGTATTTCCCAAATAAGTAAGTAAACAACAGTAACTGAGGCAGAACTTTTATTTTGTTCTACAAGTGATTCATGTAGAAATGATGAATAAATAATAAGTGTATAATAAATAAATAAATCTAATATAGGCATGAATGTTAAGATCCAATTTAGTGTGGTAACTCTGCTGAAAGAGTATTTAAGTCATTGTAGATGGTTCTCTCCATGGGGCTGTAGGGGCACAGTCCAGGCTGCCATCACATCTGGCTCTTAGATGCATATCAAACATGACCCATGTTGTATGTTTTTTTTCACAAGTCACATTCCAGGTTTTCCTCAAAAAACTGTTTCTTGAGTAATGTGATTTGACCAGTTGAAGCTATTGTTTGCAGCTACCATCAGAATCTGAAATTAACAAGTGGTCAAAATTGTTCAAAAAACTCAAGGAAACAATCATCACATTTACATTTATTCATTTAGCTGACACTTTTATCCAAAGCAACTTACAATTGCTACACATGTCAGAGGTCACATGCCTCTGGAGCAACTAGGTCAGTGTCTTGCTCAGGGACACAATGGTGGATGGGCCACAGTGGGGGATTGAACCCGGGATCACAGTACAACATCAAGCCAATTAAACTTCTGGGATTCAATTTCTAAGTGATTGGGAATCAGATTCACTTGTTTTGGTGCAAATGAAAGTGATAACGGGTGCACTGGAGAAGCAAAACAAGACAACCCCCCAAATAGGGAATGGTTTTACAGGTGGTGGCTACCGACGGTTGCTCTCTCCTTATCCTCCCTGACTGATTGTTCTCTGGTTGTGCGTTGTGCTAGTCCTTGTCACTACTGGTAGCATGAGGCGGTACCTGCAGCCCATTCAGGTTGCACAGATAGTCCAGCACCTCCAGGATGGTACATCCAATACGTGCCATCGCAAGTAGGTTTCAAGAGCACCAGAGAGACACCAGGAGACAGGCCATTGCATGAGGAGAGCTGGACCATAGAAGGGCATCAACCCAGCAGCAGGAGCGGTATTTGCTCCTTTGTGCTAGGAGGGACTGGACTCCATGGTGACATCAGTCTGTTAATATGTTTTGCTGTGCATGATGTTTGTTTCTGCTCTATTGCCTTTTTAAAATTCCATTCGGGTGTTATTCCTTGTCTCAGCAGGATTTTATTACTGTGCTGCGACAGCACAGGGCCCCTGGATGGAGAGACTGTGCAGCGAGGGGCGCTCTCCATGGTCCTGAAGCACAGAGCTGATACTGGTGCCAAACACGTGATGCTTAGCAAAATAAAAGGTGATGTTTTAAAGAATCATACGGCGGAATTAAGGGTCAAGATGATACGCGGACGGTGGAAGTAGAAATGTTATAATTAAATTCAAATTTTTTTAGTCAGAGTTTGGGAATTCAGGTCAGTACGAATGCATTATCATGATTACATTTACACTCTAAAATCAGTGTGCACGTGCCAGGTTTGCCGATGTGCATCGTTCACTGCCGACATTTCAGGCATTTCAACACTGCCACAGTGAGCCACTGTCAACTGTGTTTTTGCCCCAATCTGCCACGTGAGTGTTTTCGCAAGGCAGGGGCTGCTGGAGAGACGCAAACACCATTGATCCTCCTCGACTGCACGCGAGCTAATCGGCACGCTTCCGCTTGAATCAGCCAATCAGAGCGAGGTGCGCCGCATCTTATAAACCCATCTGCTGCCGAGCCTTTCCGCTCACTGTCCCCGCTGTCCTGTGAATCATTGACCCGAGCTGCATCCCTGATCTACCGCAACCGTGAAGATGGCGACCCGGGTAGGATATATATTCTTCATTTATTCTTTGATATATTTATAATATCTTCGTGTTTCTGCCTGGGAAATAAAGGAAAACATACCAAGGGCATAAAATGTCGGGAGAGCGTTGTCTCCCTTCATATTACAGGCAGTCTTGGTACCTTTAGAGTCTGAATGTCACCGCGACAGGAGAATATGATGTTTATTTAATACGATGTTGCAGCCCCATAACCCTGGCATGTGCCAGGAGGAGTCATTTCCGCCAGGAGTGCATATTAGCTCCAGCATCAGAACCTCCCCGCCTGCTAACGCTGCCTTCTCTGCGAGGATCGCTGGGTAATCCTGGGCTCTGCTTGCCCTTGAGCCGACGCATCTGTGTATAAAGCGGCCACTGAAAAGCCTTTACGAGCTAGGCATCTAAAATAACAGAGGGGACGTTTTGTGTGGAAAGCGCAGAGTTCAGAACAGCGTGTACAGTCATCCCGTAACACGCATGTCAGCATGAATTTGAAGATATCGGTTAATACAATAAGGTTTATTTAGTCTCCGTTCTGCAGCCTGTGAGCGTTGGTAAGCGCTGTTTGTGGTGAAGAGCAGCACGGTGCATGGCTGACTGCTGGATTGTGTGCATATTTATTTCAATGGCTGTGTTGAACCTTTCGATGTACAGTGAGGACGATTGTCTGGTATCGAGTGTCAGCCCGTGTTGTTGTCATTCTCTGAGGGACGCCGATGTGGTTTCATTTACAGGGAGGCTGACGCTAAGGTCCACGTCCCAAAGCTGGAAATTGCCTAATTTGCGTTTGATTTTCTGCGTCTTAAAAGTAGCTTCCACTGAATAAAAAAAGAATATGGGCAGGGAAATGTAGCCTACATTTATATTCCTGGTGGAAGCAGATTTTCAGTACATTTAGGAAACTGATCACAGATGGCCATACCTTGCTCTTTCAAAGTAGTGATACCATAGCATATATAAAGATTCTGAACTTCAAAGGTCACATTTTGATTTGAGATATTGTGTATGTTCTTGTAAGTCATTATTCTAGAGCATTAGATCCCAACTGTTTCACCTTATGACTCCTTGAAGGAATAGCTTGACATTTTGGGAAACATTCTGTATTTCTGGCAGAGAGTTAGACGAGAAGATTGATCTCACTCTCATGTCTGTACGGTAAACATGACGCTAAAGCTTTTTGGCTTAGCTTAGCATCATGACTAAAACAAGCGGAAACAGTTAGCCTGGCTCCGTCCAAAGATAATCAAATCCACTTACCAACAACCTCAGTCATTAACATATTTCTTTAATCTATGCAAACGCAAAGTGAAAATAACATTAAATCACAGTTTAGAGGCAAGAAATAATTTAGCACGTAACCCCCTCATAAAACATCAAATATTCCCATCCACACTTCGTTTTGCAGCCTTTGTGATGCTGTAGCTTGATATTTACCGTACAGACATGAGAGTATTAAATGGTTCCTTTCAAATGAAGCAATGTGAAGTAGGGATCTTGAGCAATTCCACCACCAGATGGATCTCACAAGAGGAAAAACAAAGATAAGAATAAAAAATCACGCATTTAGTTTGTGACCACTGGAGGGGTCCCAGTCCCCAGGTTGTGAACCTGTGTTCTAGACAGTCTCATTTCATTCTTGGTGTTATGTAGCTTTAAATCCAGGGCTGGGCATCGTGGTCTATCTCTTGTCTTTCATTCTGTCTTACATGTATGTATTTGAGTTTTTTCTGTGTTAGTACTGTGCCATAGCGCAGGCATCATGCTGAGTCATGATGCAAGGTGCTAATAGCTGTAGCATTACGCAGCAGGACAGTCTCATTGTGCTCATGTTATACTACACAGAGAGACAGAACATAGAGTACCTTTGTGCTGCTAGATTCAGTATATTTCAGCAGGGGTTATGCATAACCTCTCAGAGTTGTCTCAGTGGAAACGTGGCTGTTACATTACACCTACAGAGGAAAGACTTACTCGGTCAGTGAAGCGCTTTACTAATCACTCCAACAGTCTTTTCATTGTAATAGTTCTGTTGGAAATACAAGACTCCATTTTTACTGTAGAGCCCAGGCAGGCTTCAACAGAAGCAACAACAATCTAGCCACTGCTCTGTCTTAACAAGCTGACCACTGGCTGATTTGCAATACTACTTTGAATGACCATATGTTTCCATTTGTCAGTTTTTACATGGGTAATGGATGCAATTAGTATAGAAACAAACTCAGTGCGGCTTCTCTCACATTAAAAAAAAAATTGGCTGCAAGGTTGTGATAGATCATCTTTTGGAGTGTAAGCTGTAGTATTTGGACAGAGAAGAACATGTGAATGTTTAGTGACACTGAGACATTGAATATAATTATATAGTATTTCCCATCTGAGGTGGAACACGTGCCACAAATAGTACCTTCGAAACTATTAGCTACAATAATGTTAGCTGACCCGAAAGACACCTAAAGAGGATATCATGTACAAGTTTAACATGTAGATTTTAATGTTGGCAAGTTCTGTTTTCATCTCAACATTATAGTTGTAAAAGATTTTAAGGGACCCACAATAGTTATT